TTTCTCTGTCGAACGGGGCAAACCTTACAGATGGGTGGCCATACAGATTGAATGAATGAATGAATGAATGAATGAATGAATGAATGAATGAATGAAAATGAATGAATGAATGAAACATTTAATAGAAGGGACGCAGAGTGTACTCACTCTGCTGGAATGTACTGGGTGGGCAGAAACAACTGGAGATAGGTGTTCCCTCAGGCATCCAGGCTCTATGCCATAAAGGGCGTTATAAGTAACAACCAGCACCTTGAACTGCAGCCAGACTGGCAACCAATGCAGCTCACGTAGCAGTGGTGACACATGTGCATATCAAGAGGCACCCATTATTGCTCGCACCTCTGCATTTTATACTAGCTGCAGATCCAGATGGTCTTCAAGGGCAGCCCCAAGTAGAGCACATTGGAATAATCCAGTTATGTCCATTTAAATGTGAACAATTTTACATTTCAAGGTAAAGGGGAGTAATTATTGTAGTTTGTAAAATTTGTTTCTCTAGAACAGTTCGTACACTATATTTTGCAGGGAAGATGTTGTTGCTGATTTAGTGGAACAGATTTCTGAGCTGACTGGTATTATAGAGCAATTGCGCCGAGATCATCAAGTGACACATAAACAAGTGAGTCACATTGATAGTGGAGAAAGCCTTCCCTGTAGATATTTCAGAGAATGTGCTATATTTGGAGAAAAACTACTGGTTGGGAAGAAATCATCAAGACCTCTTCCAGAAACCAATTACTATCAGGTTAGATGAACTGGATTTGAAATAAATTTCTGGAGCAAAAGTATTAATGGGAAGCATTAGTGTGGAGCTGGGACGAAGGGGAATGTGTTTAGCCTCTTGGTTTCAGACAGAAACTCTCTGCACAGTTGTGTTGTGTACCTTCAAGTCAGTCTTGACTCCAGTCTTGACTTCAGCCAAGTCCCTGCAGTCTTCTTGGCAACATTTCTGGAAGTGGTTTGCCCTTGCCTTCTTCTTATGGCTGAGGGAGAGTGACTGGCCTAAGGTCACCCAAGTGGCTTTGTGCCTAAGACAGGGGTAGAACTCATGGTATCCTTGTTTCTAGCCTTGTTCCTTTAACCACTGCACTGGCTATCTATATGTACAGTTACACTACTACTACTACAAAAAAAGATCCATTATGAAAATACTTAATAAATGTAATCATCTTTTTCTTTTTTCTAGTTGGAGAAAGATATGGAAGAAAAATGCAATGAGATGCAAGAGGAACATGATAATAAAATAAGGTCTGGCTGTCCCTGTCTGCAAGTTTTGAAGTAACCTTTCTTTCTCCACAGTTCTAAGAGCAAAGGAGGAATAACAACATATTAAGGAAACAGCTTCCCCCATCCTTGGAAAGAAGCAGACAGCATGTGACTTTTTAGCATTGTTCTACATAGGCTTATTGAGAAGTAATAATGAACAAAATGTTTTTTACTATTGATTAATCATATTTGAATCTGTGTCATTGGTCATTTTCAGTCACATAAAAATCTTTTTTAAGGTATAGCACAAATAGAGTGTACAAAAAGAGATGTTTATATGTCAGTTGCATTTTTGTACACTATGCTTTTACACTTTAAAACTGATTTTTGTGTAACTGAAAATGGCCAACAAAGAAATCTCAAATAAGATTATTCAGAAGTAAGTCCATATAAGTTCAGTGAAATTTTCTTCCAAGTATGTTTGAATGTTTAGGGCCACATTCAGCATAAGTTAAATAATGCTGCTACTTTATCAGCAGTAATGAACAATTCTCTCCCGGGCTGTAGTCCTGTTGAAAATCCTTCTTGTGTTATTTACTCTGCAGAGAAGTTCCCCATCGGTACCATGATAGATTTTCTTTCTATGCAGGTATTAGAGCAGGGGAGGAAAGGATTAAATTGCTCTGCCTTACTGCTGGAACCCAAATAATTACCAGCTTTCCCTTTCCACCAGTGCCTGCTACTTTGTCTACACATCAGATGCAGCTTTGGGACCTTAGAAAGCCATTCTCCTGTCTCATTAGTTCTAGGTTTCTTCCAAGCACTTGCCTGAACTGTGATTGGAATTGTTCTTTAATAAACCACAGTGGCAATTGGTGTGGGCATGACATGCTTTCATTAAGACAATTTCCTGTGAATAAAAACACAACCATAATAATGCAGTATAACAGGAATAAGAATAATCACAATAATTGTTCTCCATACAGATTATGTACATGCAATAAAAAATAATATACAGATACAACAGAACATTGGTTTAGAATGTAGTAAGAAAACTCATCCTAAAAACCTAGATTTAGCTCCTGTGCAAGCATTCCAGAGCTTTTCAGAACAGGATGGAATTATCCATTTTCCCAAATCCAGGAGAGCCAGTTATTTCAAGGCCTTGCTATGGAGATTTTTCATAAAACTGGAACTAATACAGGAGGAAAGCTGCTATTTCACCTAATCTAGAGCCTTTCCCCACTGCTGAGTTAAAGTTCTATTTAGTAGTCCTTGAACCAGCAGAGTTGAAATTGCTAATCCCTGTCCTGCCTCTATAGGCAAAGGATGATGAGCTTAGTTACTGTGTGCAAAGCTTATTAAGGAAAGGAATTGCTGGATTCCTTTGGCTTACTTCCTTCCCATCCCAACAAACATCAGATGGAGATGGGGCTTGGAGAGGAGGTGCATTCTGAGAAATGGCTAGCGGAGTAGATATTTGGTCCTGGTGTCTTGTTTGGGTGCATTCAAAAGAAGCCTGGTTAACAGCTGACAGATGCTATGGGTTTTCTTGCTTCCTTGTACAGCTCTCTACCAGCACCAGTCAGCTGTTAGCTGGGCTGATCCCTCTTTCAAAGCCAGGTTGGCCCAGATATCTGGCAAATAAATGAGGAAAGCCTGGATGGTCCCATTGCTCAGGCCACATTGGCCCTGGAGTATGGTACCCAGGGACTGGAGACAAAGAAGATCACCCACACTGGCCAACGTCTACTGAGTTGATCCCACTCTCCAGATTCTTATGACAATACCACATAGAGAAAAAAGGGCTGAAGTTCATTACTTTATTTCTTCAGCCTAAGACGTGATTCTGTATATTTCTTATGTACTTAGTGATCCTTTGCTGTTTCCCTCTCCAGTTAAGTCACAAGATTTTCGTAGATTCTCCCCATCCCATGTATTTGAGCCCCTCTGGCTTCCCCCTAAGGAACTATTCCTGAAATGTAAAGGATATTTTACAACTAAATTAGATAAGATTTTAGATATGACTGAAGACTCTATAGTAAATTGGCAAAAATCAGGCATTGTGACTTGTACAAGAGAAGCTGCTAGCATTGCCTTGCTTCTCACCAAGGCAATGCTAGCAGTGTGTGTATCTCTTCAAGCTTAGTACGAAGACATATTAGAGGGCCTAACAGACCACTAGTGCAGAAATGCCTCTTTTACATGCCTTTCCTGTGTTGCCTTGGCAGGGAGATTCAGACATTTCACATAGCAGAAGTGAATAACCTGGAAGAGCAATATAAGAAAGAGTTGCGAAACGAGAGGGCAACTGCGCAAGAAAAGCTGGGTATGATGCAGGGCTACCTATTTGCCCCACCCTGCTTGTGTACTGGGACTCCAGCATGCACCCAGAGTTGTTCCATAGAGGGAATTGGAACTAGATAAGCAGCCAGGGCGAATGGGGTGCAATTTGTAAGCTTTGGGGGGGAGGGAGTTGAAAAGAATTGACAAGCATCTGATTTTTATCTCTTAGACATCGATCATCTAAATATTCTGTGCTATCAATCACAGACTTGATAAATATTTGTAGTCTGTGCATGCTTGTTGTTATTGCAAAACTCACATGCTATTTTAAAAAAAATAATAAGATGAAAAATCACCTAGCCATCTCTCCTTTGTTTTGCAAGGAGCCCTGTGACATTGCAGGAAGTTTCAAGCAGAAATTGTTAAGGTTTTGAGAAGCAAAATTATTTTCCCCTCACAGGATGTTCTATATCAGTATGATTTTATTTTCATTTGTTTTTCTCTGTTGAGGCCAAAGGCCCATTACATACTGTAGGACCATGTGGGTGAACTCCAAATGCTGGAAGAACTTGGATTTGTATCTTAAAAGATGACTTGGATAGCTTTGAATACAGCATTCTTTCCTCAGGTCAAACACCTAACCTTGGTTTAGATGGACTTCCCTCAGGGTGGGGAATGCCCTATTTATAAGCCAGAAGCCAAACTCAGTCTCAGTCTCAATTCAAGTTAGAAACATATAGAACTGAACAAGCCTTGTAGAGAATTAGGAAAATTGCCTGCAAAAGGAAACCCTGTTTACAGCTGGGAGGGAGGCCTTGTGAGGGGCTGCAGGGCATTAGCAGGCATCACCCTATGTTGCCATGGTCTCAAAAGAAGGGATGTGTTGGGAAAGGAAGCTGGAGACCTCTGGGAAGGAATGTGCAATCCTTCCTCTCAAGCTCAAAAAAAGCCTGATTTTTGGCATCATTGGTGGGGAGGGGTTTAATGGGGGAGGGGAAGAAGGACACCTCGGAGACAAAACACTACAATTTCTATCTGTAACACCCCCTTTCCCAGGCTCCGAAACATGACCCAAAATAGCACTGCCAAACTTGAGTTATTTTGTTGCTGAATTTAAATGGTGTAATTTTGAGGTGCTGGGAGGCTGCAAATAGGATGCTATGGGCTGTACATTGCCATCCCCTAACATACGGAGATGGGGTGACTGAGCAGACCTTATCGGCTTCGCTACTTGGATCTCTAGAGAAACAGTCACAGCCTAAGACGTTACAAGGCTCTAACTCAGCTCTCTGTTATCTTTCTCAGCCTCTCAAACTGTACCTGGCCTTCTTCTTATTCCTAACTAGAATGAGCGGGAAGGTATTTCCCTGTCAAGTTATTTCCTAGTATTTTGTAACAGGCAGCGCCTACCAGCAATTAGCCATCCTCCTAGCAAAAAGATCATCAGCTGCTGGGACAATTAAAGCATTCTCTTGCAGCACTCCTGTCTATGATTAGAAGTGGACCCTGGATAAAAAATATTGATGATGATTCTGTAGTTAATTTCTCAGAAAAATACATCATATTTTACATACATATTTTACATACATTAAGTATGTATGTATGTAAATATGATGTATGTAAAATACATATTTTACATACATATTTTACATACATTAAGACAATTCATCCCAAAAAACATGAAAAAAAAATTGAATCAGTAGTTTATAGTGCTATGACACGGATGCATGGATTGCATTACTCCTTCCCTTTTTTTTCCTCCCAGGTACAATGCAGAAGGAATACAAATACCTGAAGAATGCATTTCGTATGTACCAGGTAAAGATTTAAATTACCATCCAAGAAATGATGAGGTAGGCTTATGAGGTAGGGTTGGCAAACTTTTGGATTTATGAGCATATTTGGAATTTGGGGGATGCGTCAAGAGGTACCTTTTCAAGCTAGCTTCCATTTGACTGTGGCTTTCCCACAATGGGTGACTGCTGCACAGCAGCCCATGTGGGGCTGTCCTTGAAAAGTATCCAGAAATTGCACTTGGTGCAAAGTACAGGACAGAGTCTGCTGTACTTTGAAATGCATTTAATCATTTTTTTGCATCCACAGAAATTATTTTATCCTATTCCTTAATGAAGGTGTACCTTCTTCCCCACTTCTGGCCTATTTTGGGGAGGGGAGGGATTTTTTCTCCTGATGGAATCTCAAGTGGAAAAAAATATGAAGGCTATGCATAAAATATTCTCCCTGATTCCTAATCAATATCCCATAACCATCAAGGACAGTCATTATTTGTGGGAGCCATCCTTTTGAAAACTCTACTGGGAAAGAAATTGAATCACCAGATATCTTTGTGAAAGCAATTGGTGGGTGGTTTGGTGTGTACCTTCTGCAATGTGGGAGAGCCATGCTCTTCAGCTGACACTTCACTTGATGTGACTGAGTTGCTGGGGTGGGGAGGAAGTGCCCAAGAGCTAACCTTTCTCTCTCCCCCCCTCCCCTATTTACCTATGTACTACTTACCTACCTATCTCTATAGGGTTTTGGTGGTTGGCTCCAGTCATAAACCTTTATTATTCAGAGCAGTTTTTATTCTCAAAACTTACTTCAAAGCAGAAATTAAATTCTTTTTGTACTTACAACTTACTTATTTTTATTTAAACAATTGAATGGTCTTTTTTGTCTACAAGAGTATTTGATTTTTAAAAACTTTATCATTTTAGTATACAAATGTGCATGTAAGAATTCTTCATACTTTGCGAAGGCAGTAGTTTTATGATCCTGTCCCCCTCCCCCCCCCACAGAAAAGGACACATACATGCCTTTTGTGAAAAGTGCTTGTGACTTCTCAATACCCCATGGAGTTCATGATTTAAAAGGGCATATATGTAGTGTCACATATAGGGCAAAAACAGTCAAGTTTAAATCCTCCTGAGTACTGATGTGTTTTAGTTAATCCACAAAACTGAATGAGAGTCAGCCATAAACTCAAAATGACTTTTGAAATAATTTTTTAATTGGGCCACAATATCCTCTTTGATGTGAATGACAGATTTTAATAAATTGATAGGCAGAACTGTTGCCTGTATATGTTTCAAGCTGGTTGGTGATTTTGTTTGTTTGTTTATTTGTTTTGGTAGGATAGCATTTCTGATGAAATGGAAGAAAAGTGGCTGAGAAGGCAGGCAGAATGGAAAAAAAGTGAGAGGACTGAGCGGGAGAAAGCATTATTGCAACAAAGTGAGTAAAGGGGATGCACTGCTCTTGCACTACTGTGATCAAAGCACTATTTTCTGTTTCTTATTATCCCATTAGCAAGTCTTTAAGAAAATAAGCAAGGACACCCAAATGCTGCAGGTGTTTTACCTAATTTTACATGAACATATAGTAATGTATATTCTCATCTAAAGGGGAGGAAAAGAAAAAAATACTTGTTCAGCAAATTCAGGTTATAAAATTACTAAGAGTATCATGAGACCAAGCACAATAACTTAGAGTATTCTGGTTTTTAAAAAAAGTTCACATACATGTGGTGTGGAGAGCCAGTATCAAGGGGACGGGGGAGGAAGAGAGGTCAAAATGTGCAAAATGGTGAACAAGATTGAACAATGTGGGGGAAAACAGGCACACAGGACCCATCCTAGGCTATCCAGGCCTAAGTAAGAATAAGATTAAATTATGGTTAAAATTTTTATTTTTACAAAAATTGTCTGTATAAATAAATAAATAAATAAATGTGCATAATCCAAGTAAATATAAATACATAAAACAAGTAGGTATAGAGGCAGTTGCCAAAGGCACAATGAAGCAAACACATTAGCAAATGGAAGAAACAAAAACTGAGAAGAGAAAATACTTTGCTAACTTGCTGTATGCACCAGCATCTTCCTGATTTTATATGCTGCACACAGAATTTTGCCATACTGAATTTATGGTAAGAGTCTTATCAGATGACAGAAGGAGTATATAGTAATGCTGGGGTGCCATGAAAAATCTACTAGCAAGGATATAATATTGGAGCTGCGTACATGGCTACATATATCAAATTGCCATGCTAAATTCTAATGCTTGTGGGAGTTTCCGTGACTCAGGCACAATATAGTTAAGTAACATATATTTTTTTAAAAAAAGTTTATCCTTTCCTCAGAACAATCTTTAACAAGGAGATTTGAGATGGAATTAGAGGAGCAGAAGAAGATTATTCAGAAAAACAGTTTTTTGCTAGGCAGAGTTTATGAACAAGAGAGAGAAGTAAGTACATTTCCTACTTATCAAAAGTTGCTTTGCTATGTTCTGAAGGTTATTATAACTTGAATTAAAAAAATAAAACAATTTTCTTACAAATCCAGCCAATCTGATTGTTGCAGATAGGCACGGCCTGGAAGATGTGTGGTATTGTCCCTGTATAAGCTTGTATTCTTATAACACAGCATGAGTTACTGATTTGCTATCATTTTTGTTTAGCATCAATCAGCAGAGAAAAACAAAAGTCACAAACCATTAAAGCTTGCTCCTGACTGGAATAAAATTTCATCAGGACTAATTAATCAGAAATACCATTAATTCATTTCTAATTAAAAGGCTCTTATTCATGAAGCAAACGATCCCAAACAGGAAACAATAAATGAACTGATGTTGGAAGATATCTTTGCTGCATGAGATTTTATTATGACCAGATCCTGGAAGTAAGGAAGGGCAATACTGTAGTACCCTATTGGGTCATTTCAAACTGCTGTTTTCATTCTCATTCCAGCTGATGGAGAAAGATTAACACTGTAGCATTAACAACCCGGACTGGGAAGCAACTTTAGTCAGAGATGTAGAGATGTAATGATTACAAGCGGGTAAACTTTCCATGAAACCCAATTTTCTTGGTTAGGCAAACATATGGATGCATTTTTAAGGTGTGGGAAATAGTATTTTATATAAATTAGTTGGAAGTATAGAATAAGCCTCTGAGTTTCAATCTCAGTGGAAATCTTCAATAAGTTGTAGATGTAAAATGAATCTAGCAAGCTTGTTTTTTTCCCTATTATCACATAGAATTGCTGTACAAATTAGTCTCATTCAGTGCATAGCTAGTCAGAGTGTGAACTGGGCTGCATAAAAGGAGATGCACACCAAGACTTTATTGGGAGCACACAGAAAATTAAGAATTAAAAGTTTATTTCAGGTATATTTTATCTATTAATTCCCATCCTTTTCTTTTTCTTTTTTCTTTTCCAGGAATTTCAGAAGCAGCACCAAATTGCCTTGGAAAATATAGAAGAGTTAAATGCCAAAATCAAGGCATGTATGTTGATTTAAAAAAAAAAGTGCAATTGAGGCATCTATTCAATAAGTAGAAGCAGTATGGTCTACTGTAGGCTTCCTCCTTATATATATTAGATGTAACTCCCCAATATTCTACCTATTAGCTGGGGAAAATGAGTGGAAATAATAATAATAATAATAATAATAATAATAATAATAATAATTTATTAAAGTTGTATTTGCTTTAATATTTTGGATTAGGTCCAGCAGCCTTTGACTGTAAAGACTTTTAAACCACGAAGCAAACTTAATGGAATGTGTCTAGTCTCTAATCTGTCAAATCTTTTGTGGAGAGCAATTGAGTTAGGGGAGAATATTTTCAAATAGAAAAACTGTGGAATATAGATATAAATAATATATAGATATAATAATAAATGGGACCTGCAATAGACTGCCCTTGTTCAGTCTGCTGGCCAAGCCTTCTTTCAGGATACACTCATCCATTTCATCCCCTCCTTCTCTCCTTTCCCCAAGAAAGAGCACTAAAAGTTGGCTTTTTCAACAGGCCCTGTAGTAGGATGATTTGTGAACTCCACACTGCTATTGGATATTAACCCCCTGGTGTTTTGGTGTTTTCCTCCTCTGATATGGTGGTTTAATATAATTTTGGTTGTATTGTTTTTCTTTGTTGTTTTAAACTTTTGATTACATCACATTGAGTTGCTTTGGCAGTTGAGGTAGATGATCAATTGAGTAAATAAATAATTTTCAGTCTCTAGCACCCTTTAAATATGGTCAATCCTCACTGGTCTTTTTTTCTTTTCTTTTCCTGGCAATGGAAGATTCTCCTGCCCCCAAAGGATTCTTCTATTTCTAATAATGGGAAATCTGGCAAGTTTGCTCATATATTCTTTCTCTTTGATGACTCCTTTTGACTACTAAATTTTAAGTTCATTACTAGTATATACAAATCAAGAACTGGTTTATTCCCTGCCACTGCTGTTTTTCAAGTAGTCATCTGTGAATTCATACACATAGATTCTGCATCTATGCAGAGCCTGGTTTTGAACCTTCTAGAGTTGACAGAGTTGTTTCACAGGAACTCCACCCTCCATGCATACTAAGCAACCAGGTGAAGCTCCCACAGAACAACTTCTTCAGTTTCTAAGACCATCACAATGAATTTGAAGGGAACAATGAGATCTCTTGAAACCAAGTGGGGCTAAGAGGATAAAATTTTGTGAAGTCACAGATGATCACCTGAACTACATTTACAGGGAAGTAAGCAGTTCTTCACTGTGATCTCTATGATTCACATACATGGGTGAGTAGTAATCTTTACCTGGGGAAGGTCTAGCTGTCCTAAGATGACCAAAGAGAAAATAGTCCTTCTGAAAGTTGGAGTACCTAAGAACTGGTCCCATCTATAAGGCTAGATTGGGGTGGGGGAGGCTGAGCTCATCTGGCTGCCAATATCATTCCAGTGGGGAATGTCTCTGAGGAAAGCTGCCAATGTTGCTGTTACTCTTGTGCAGTGAGTGTGAATAGAAATGGGGGCACTGTTGTTTGGCTAAATTATACCAACACTTGAATGGTGCCACTATCATTAGAGAAATGCTGGAGGGAAACACAACAAGCTTTAGATGGCAAGAGCATGAGGAAAATCCAAGGAATGAATACTTCCATTGGTATTGAAAAGATGAGAACATGATGTTGTGGAGAAACATGGGAGAGGGGCCTTATACCTCTCAGCTGTGCCTCTTGGCCCTCCCCCCAGTCTGGGCACATAGTGCTAATGCCGCTTCTGGTTATGAATTATGTACTGTGGTAACTTCCTGCTGCTCACCTGTCTTCCTGGAGGAAAGAATGCCTTGCTCAGGCTCCTGAGAGAGAAGGGACTCTCCCCGCCCGAGTAGCTTAATCTACCTGAAACCATAATAATAATGGTGATGATAACAACAATGGTGATAATAACTGTAATAATGAAAAGGAAAACCAATTCTGTATCACTACCTCCTTACCCTAATAGCTCTGAGACATGTGGCCAGAGAACAGCAATCCTGTCTCCTTCTGAGGAGACAGCAATAAAAACATCAGTCTTGTGATTTAAAATCAGTTTTATTAGAAATAAAGAAGCAAAACATTCTTTTAGCTTGGATAGCCAAATGTTCAAACAATTTCAGTGGGATGGAATAAGGCATTTACTGCTGATGAACATCCAAACCGTGTCTCCCACATCAGTCTCCCATAGTATCTGAAGTGGAGGTTGGAGCCAGATCCAGATGGGCAGGATTGGAACTGCAAAGAATGTAAGATAGAAGGCAACCTACAAGAATGAAGTTTCCACAAAGATGATAAACTTCTGATACAAAAATCAGACATTTTTTAAAAAACAATGAGACACATTCAAAATACCAAAGACTATGCAGCAGATTTTTTGGGCGGGGTCTGTTTTGAGTCAGTGTTGACTCCTGGCAACTGCCTGGATAAGCCCCTGGAGTTTTCTTAGCAAAGTTTTTTGGTAGTGGTTTGCCATTGCCTCCTTCTTGGCCTGAGAGAGAATGGCTGGCCCAAGGTCATCTTGGGTGGTTTTAGTCTTTTTATGTATAGGATCTTTTTATATAGTCTCACTTTATAACTATTATATAGAGTTAACTACTATAACTAATTAATGTGGATATTTATATTTTTAATTGTTTTCAGGTTTTATTCTAATTGTGAGCTGCCCAGAGTCACTCTCTAGGGGAGATGGGCAGCATGCAAATTACATACATACATACATACATACATACATACATATATACATACATACATACATACATAAGGTCATCCAGCTGACTTTGTGCCTAAGGTGGGACAAGAACTCACATAGCCGATAAGCATATCTTAAAACCAAGTTATCTGATTGTAGATCCTGGCCAAGAGGGTCTACTTTATCTCCAAGAGGAGGGATTTTTCCCCCATCCCCAGCTCACTGCTTCAGCTGCCTGGTCCTGATTAACTGACTTCCACAACTGCAACCTTCAAGCTCCTGTTGACTCCCCAGAAATGTCTGGGTCATATCAGCACTTTGTTTAGTCTCTCCTTTCATTTTGTTCCAAGACAAAGGCCTTTTTTTCCCAGCAAGGGTGGGGCTGAGGTGAACAAGTTTAGGCAAGTTTCTTCTTAGCCCCTCCACTTGAGGCTTGGACCTTTTGTTTTATCTGGGGAACTCTGGGCTTGTCTCCCTTATCCACTCATGCTTTTGCATGTGTGCTTTGATGAAGATGTTAATTCCATGCTTGGGAATCAGCTGTCAATCTTCAAGAAGCTGAGTGAATGTGGGAGAGCAAAGGGGTTGCCATGCCTTGTGTGAGTGAATGAGTGTTTGGCCATTCATTGCAGAACACAGAGACAAAAAGGGAGAAACTACAGGCCAGGAGAGGCAGGGAACTTGTAATCTGTCTCACATGTAACCTGCATCCACATAACCACCCTATCTTCCTCTCCCTTTCTGCTCCACCTCACCCTGATTTGAATCCTACATCAGCCTAGCCACTTTATGCATCTGATGAAGTGAGCTATAGTTCATGAAAATGTATGTCTTTCAATAAAACTTGTCAGTCAGAAAAGGTGCCTAGCAGACTCGTTTTGGAGATTAGAATCGCACTCAGTCTTTCATGAAATGGTGGGTTAGAAAAAGTAAAGGAGATGCCTGCAAAACATAATTTTATTGAAAAGAAAGCTACTCCTTGCTATTTTAAATATAAGCAAGAGCTAAAATGTGATTGAACTGATATTGCCAGCATTAAAATCTGAAGACTTTCCATTTAGATACATAGGAAGTCCATGAAAAACACTTTTGAAAAACTAACAAAAATTGCTTCACCTTGTCCTGAATGGGTTGTAAAATTGAATTAACCAAGCTATAAGGTGATGGCATCAAGTTTTAGATGAACTTGTCCCTGAAGGATAAAGAATAGAACAAGACCATTTGGAAGGCAGAGGTATTCATGACAGGTAAAACAGAGGAGTGGAACAAACCATAACTATTGAGGCTACTAAGATATGGTGAAGTGTGTAGTTGATCTTCACCAAGACACTGGTGAAAAGGTAAGCTCCATTAAAAAAATTAGTAAGGGACTTGAGGTCTATCCAACTCCTACTTCAGATGAGTAAGACTCCTCTGGCCAATAGACTCCTTTGGATTCTGCATAAATATTTCCTATCCTATAATAACTTTGATTTGGTTGGCTAGGTAACCTGATTTAGATTTCAGTTCCATCAGCTCCAATGAGGCTAGTGGCAACAGCTTGTGAGAATAGTAGTCCAAACATATGAGGACAGTATATTGCCTACAATTTTGCCTGAGTTAAATGAAGGAAGGGAAGTGCTGCTGAGTAATTTACTGGGCGCCATGGTGTCCACTAAATTCCAATGTTAATTAAAAGCCAATGTAATTTTTTTAACTACTTGAATTTTTTGAATGGGATCTCATGAGATTTGGAGCTTTTAAAATCATTAAAATGATCACAGAGATCATTTCTGGGATGCACACTATTGCCTTATCCCTAATAAGGGTGCTTTCTTTATTTTACTGTAAAATGAAGTTGCACATTTTCTTGGAACAACTGTGGAAATGTGATATAAATTCTTGAAATAATTAAAAAAATGTTTTTATCTAATAAAAGACATTGGAGAATGAATTGAATGAGAAGAATGAAACTCTTAACGCTATTGCTTCATCTCTTCACAAAACAGAGATGGAACTTCAGAAGGAGGTGAGACCTGTGACGCACGACTACCCTTTTGAAACGTGTCTAACTTTACTCTTTACTTGCTGGTGGTAGGAGCAGATTACTTTTTACAAAGATTGATAGTCTGCCTTTCCTTTTAGTAATCCACGAAAACAAGCTCAGAATAATTCCACACATCCATGTACCTAGCAGTATTGGCCCCTTCCCAGTGAATGGGGTCCAAGTACTGTCATTCTACAATCCCAGGTGGTTTTTAATCCTGAGGAGGATAGCAAGCTACTTGCTCTTCCTGCTGCTTGGGGATGGGTTAGTCTCCCTTTTGCCTGGAATGCTCTACCTCAAAGGCCTGAGGCATGACCTTCCAATCAGCCTTGCTCCCATGGTAGGCCCTTTTCTTCACCTCTGCAACCCAAGGACTACCACCTGCATCAATATTCAGTGTGTAACTTTTTTTCCTTCCAATAAATCCACTGGCCATTGGTGAAGAGAACCACCATGTGTGATTCTGCAGCACCAGCAAGGTCAGGTCCCAAGTTCAGCCACTGCTTCACTGATGTTCTTGGAATGGGCATTAATCATTAAGTATTTCTTCTATCAAACCAAAAGGAAATAAGCTTAGACTCTGAGTCTCAGAGACTGACTTTCTGTTCTGATGTGCCATTCTCTAAATGCTACATCACTGAGAATTTGCAGAAATAGTCTAGTTAATGTTCACTGTAGTTGGTTGCAATTTCCTTTGGTTTTCTCTTTGTATCCCACTACTATAGCCAACGTGGGTAGCCTCCCTTGCCTTACTTCTGCAACCCACCTTAATTTGCTGATCACTTTGTCCCACCAAAGGCAGAGGCAAAAGGCAACATGCAAATCACTGAACCACTGCATTAATTCCTCGTGCAAGCAAAGTTTTGCTTAAGAACTAACAAGGGGCAAAACATATGGGGAGAGCAGCGTGTGAGAATAGGTAACTAACATGAGATAACAGAGAGAGCAAAAGAATGTAAGATTTATCTTTGCTTTATTAAGTACAAGATTTTTGATTGTGTACATCATACCAGAATGTGAAATATAGCAAAGCTAATGCGTATCTCAGAACACCTGATTATTATTCTGAGGAACTGTTAAATGAACAAGATATTGAGACTGAATCTGGCGAAAAGTGTTCTAAAATAATGTATACTGTATAAAGGGAATATAAGAATGGCAGGATTAGTAGAGATGACAGCTGGCATTAAAAGCGAAGATCAGAACATTAACAATGTGAGATATGCAGACACCACCACTTTGTAGCCAAAAAAAAGAAGAAGAAAAAAAGCTCATTATGAAATAAAAATAGAAATCTGGGTTGTTAAATACCAACAAAGCAGAGTCAACCAGCAGTGTTGCAGTGGTTTTAAGCTACAGTGATTTTGCTCAGGTTTCTACTTTGGGGACCATCAGTTAAAATTCCACCCTTTGTTGGTGACCAAGCAGTTGACTACCTCTAAAAAGAAATGGCTATGAAACACCAATTAAGAAAAAATATTCTCTAGTTCAGTGCTAATTTAAAGAATGTTTGCATATCAGTGCTCTCCCAAACAATGGCAAGAGAAGATTTCATTGATGATAGAAGTTTGCATAGGGAAATTTATATGTTCCTTCCCACTTTTCTAAAACACAGTTTGTTTTCTCCACTACAGAAAAACAGCTTGGCAGACATGGAGAAAACTATCCAACAAAAAGTTGTGGCAGTTGAAGAGAAATATCGAATTAATATAGCTTCTTTGACGGAAGAAAACAACATTTTGAGGTGAGGGAAAAAAATCTAGTAAAATCCAAAACAGTAAGTCTTCTGAAAGAGTTGTTAAACATTGCAGATTTACTGCAGAAGTTTGTGAAACAAACCATGACAACACTTCCAATAGATATTTATATATTCCTGAAATAAATTATTTGGCTTTGTGTGGGTGAGGAGACTGCTATTCCCTTATGAAAATTAGGTGTTCTATAGAAAATGTATGTTCTATGATCAAATTATTCTGAATACTTGCAAGCAATTAGCTTGGTTAGCTTATTTGCCAAATTCAATTTTGGAAGCATTTTTAGCTTCCAAAGGCCAAAGTCGTAGGGAGGCATGGAGAGATTCCAGAAAGCCTTAATGACTGTGATGTTGCATGCCTAAACTTGCCATCCTTGGAAGTATTTGTCGTTAAAATAAACCTTTGAAATTGTTAGAACTGCTTGAAGAAAGTATATACCAAA